AAAAAAGAATGCATGGAGTAAACAAAAGAAAGAGAAAAAAATAAAGAGATAAAAATGACTAGGTCTTTTTCACCTTACAGGTCATTATAATAACTTTGTGTCATGTCGTTTTAACTTTTATTAACTGAAATATAATGTATAGACAGAAAAAACTGTACAAATCATAAGTGTCAGCTCAATAAGTTATCATAAAATTACTATCTTTCCCTGCTATCTATGGTCAACTGATGTTCGACAAGGAAATCAAAGCTATCAAATGGGGAAATAATAAACTCTTTAACAAATGGTGGTGGCAAAACTGGACTTCCACCTGCAGAAAGCTGAAATAGGGTCCACATCTCACACCATACACAAAAACCCACTCTAGGTGGATCAGAGACCTGGGAGTAAAGCCCCAAACCACAATGTTCATAAGAGACAAACTGGGATCAAGCTTAGAAGCGCTAGTCAAAGGTATAAAGAGACTGCCAAATACAACCAGAAATGCACAGTCTAAAGAGGATAAAATTGATGCATGGGACCTTCTAAAGATTAAATCCATGTGTGCGTAAAAAAAATTTCCAACAGGATGAAAAGAAAACCTACAGACTGGGAACAAACAGTTGATAATACCATCTCGGACAAGAGTTTTATAACAAAAGTTTACAGAATACTCCTGGGCCTCCACAAGAAAAAGACTGATAACCCAATTACAAAATGAGCAAAAGACATGAAAGAATTTTCACACAGAAAGATATTCAAATAGCAAATAGACACATGAAGAAGTGCTCCAAATCACTGGCAATAAGAGAGATGCAAATCAAAACCACAATGAGGTACCATCTTAATCCAGTAACAGTAGTAAAATTTAACAGGGCAGCAAGTAGAGAGAGGATGTGGCAAGAAAAATAACTGTTATACATTGTTGGTGGGATTGTAAAATGGTACAACCATTCTGGAAGGCAGTTTGGCCCTTCCTTAAAAAGCTGAACATAGAAATTTTGAACCATCTATTCCACTACTTGGAATATACCCTAAGAAAATGAGAACTGAGGCACAAACTGAGATTTGCACAACAATGTTCATAGCAGTATTATTCACCACTGCAAGAACATGGAAATAGGCCGAATGTTCAAACACAAATGAATGGATTGAGAAATTATGGTGCATTCACACAATGGAATACTATGCAGCATGCAGGAGCAATGACTTTGTAAATTATTACCTATCTTGGGAGGGACAGGAGATTATTAGGTTGAGTGAACTAACTCAGTCCTACAAAGATAAATATTGTATAAAACCATTATTTCAGAATGAGTATAAGGATCCAAGAGTGGTGGGAGAGGGTAGAAGCAGTAGGATGAGGGTGTTCAGGGAGAGGGGAGAATTAATCATGGGTTTGTACAACTTGATGGGGGAAGGATGAGGGGAAATTGAAAGAACTTGATCTTAAAAAAAGTAATTATCTCTGTAGCCAGACACACATCAAGAAAAGCACATTATCATCCCTCCAGGGCCCCCTTTACTTTCTCAACTATTCATTATACCTCCCTCTTCCTTAAACGTAGCCAATAACTTAACTTCTTCTGCCATAGATTACGATTGCTTGTTTTTTACAGGTAAAAAAAATAAATAAATGGAATTAGACTCTTTTGACGTCTAAATTTTTATTTTTTTCTTAGTGTTTCATTTGTGATATCATCATTTGAAACCAAGATGGAAGAGGAGTCATGATAGAAACTATGTAGTTTAAAATGCTAAAGGGAAAGATGTCATACAAAAAGAGAATTGGTGATGATAGCATTTCTTTGCCTTGAAGCCATATGAGTTCATGGCCTGGGAGATAATTAATTACCCTGCTAATCCAGAGGCGGTAATTCAAATCCACCAATAGCTCTGCAGAAGAAAGATAGACAATCTCTTCCCATGCAATTTACAGCCTCCGAAAACCTGCTGGAGGTCAGATATGAATTGGTTTTAACTTGACAATTGTGGGTTGATTTTGAGTTGAGAACCCATATGAAAATCAAGGAAAGAGATAAAATGCCTGCTCACCTCAACTCTTTTCTTGGGAATGAAGAGATTCCAAGATGGTTAAAGTTATGGTTATTTATTCATTATGAATGTCACTCAGACACTCATACATCCTACTATGTTTCAGATATATTGCTTAGTACTTCATTACAAAGATAATTGAGATATAGTCATTAAGTAAACATGTAAATAGAAGACTACAAAACACATTTGTTTGTTGTTGTTTAATGCCATCGAGTCGTAGACGACTCATAGCGACCCTATGAATGAAAAGCCTGAGCACTGTTCGTACATAGAGTTTCCAGAGGCAAGCCATTTTGGAAGTGGATGCCGCTC